GTGGTTGAGCGGGGACTTGCAGTGTCGGGTACTTGCGTGAGGCTCACGTCTCTGCCCTCAGCACTGGGCCCAGGGATGTGAGGCTTGCATCCCTGCCCCCGGTGCTGGGCCCAGGGATGTGAGGCTTGCGGCTGTGACATGGCACAGGCCAGGCTGGGGGACACCCTACCCCCTCCCCCACCCTGCCCCGAGTGCATGAATTTTGTGCACCGGGCCACTAGTTGAAGTATAATTTAAATACAATAGCATTCACCAATTTAAAATGTTCAGTTCAATAAGCATTACATATTTTGACAAGTACATTAAGCATTGTAACCACCACTACCACAATTGTGACATAGAACATTTCCATCAGCTCTGCTTTTTAGTTCTCAGTGCTTTTTAGTTTCTCATTAGTGAAATGGATATATAGGAGTATCTATTTCCATAGGATTATGTAAGGATAAATGAGTGATATATACTTAAGCCCTAAAATAGTCCTGCATATGTAAGAGCTAATGCTATCTGCTCTCTGCTCTTATATTTAGTATTGATGCTGGTGTTCTACCTTTTAAAAAAAACCCTCACTAGTTTTATTAGGTATTTAAAACTTAGATTCTATGCTAATAAGAATGGTGTGTTGCTGTCATACATATGTCTATATATAAATGGATCTGAATGGAGTGCAAAACTACCTTGAGCCTTAGCAGAATTCAGTTTGGAATATGAAGGTAGGCTTTTCTGAATGTACCCATCAGCCATCTTTATCAATAATTGGTATTTAATTACATTACTTTTATCACTCTTGCCTCATGGTAAAGTATGTAATGTAAAATTCAAGATTTTTTATTCATTGTCAATGCCATCATGCCAGGCAACTGTCACTTGTATTTAAAATGACTTTCGCCGAAACCGGTTTGGCTCAGTGGATAGAGCGTCGGCCTGCGGACTGAAGGGTCCCGGGTTCGATTCCGGTCAGGGGCATGTACCTGGGTTGTGGACACATCCCCAGTGGGGGATGTGCAGGAGGCAGCTGATTGATGTTTCTCTCTCATCGATGTTTCTGGCTCTCTATCTCTCTCCCTTCCTCTCTGTAAAAAATCAATAAATATATTTAAAAAAAAATAAAATAAAATGACTTTGCTGTTTTGATTTATAATAAAATCATCATTTTGGAAGCCTTTGGCTATTTTATATCTTAAATTTTAAAAAAAAATTGGCCTGGCCAGCCTGGCTCAGTGGTTGAGTGTTAACCTATGAACCAGGAGGTCATGGTTCCATTCCTAGTCAGGCACATGCCCGGGTTGTGGGCTCTATCCCCAGTAGGGGGTGTGCAGGAGGCAGCCAATCAATGATTCTTTCTTATCATTGATGTTTCTTTTTTCTTTTTTAAAATATATTTTTATTGATTTTATACAGAGAGGAAGGGAGAGGGATAGAGAGTTAGAAACATTGATGAGAGAGAAACGTCGATTAGCTGCCTCCAGCACACCCCCTACTGGGTATGTGCCCGCAACCAAGGTACATGCCCTTGACTGGAATCGAACCTGGGACCCTTGAGTCTGCAGGCCAATGCTCTATCCACTGAGCCAAACCGGTTAGGGCTCATTGATGTTTCTATCTCTTCCTCTCCCTTCCTCTCTGAAATCAATAAAAACGTATTAAAATTTTTTTAAAATTTATTAGGGAGAGAGAGACAGACAATAATTTGTTATTCCACCTATTTATGCATTTGTTGTTTGCTGATTGTATGTCCCCTGATTGGGTATGGAACCACAATCTTGGTGTATCAGGACCACTCTATTCCTTGAAAGTCTACACATTGTATCCTCTGTGTTAAGCCTTTTATTTAATTGCCTTTTTCATTTTATTGATCCTATCTGTTAAGATATTTCATCAGATTTCTTTGGGACATTTTTTGTGGTACCTGCTATTTTTTTTTTTTTTAATTCTTTGAGAATTGGAAATTGTAGTTTAGATGTTCCATTACTTTTCTAGGACTACAATGACAAATGACTACAAATGTGGTGACTCTAAAATAGAAATTTTTCTCTCACAGATCAAGAGGCCAGAAGTCTAAAGTTAAGGTGTGGGCAGGGCCATACTCCTTTTGAAGCTCTGGTGCAGACTTCCTTGCCTCTTTCAACTTCTGGTGGCTCTTGATGTTGTTTCTTGTCTTGTGACAGTATAACTTACTTTTCTTCCTCCATCTTTATGTGGCCTTCTTACCCACTGTGTGTGTCTTATCATCTTATAAGGACACCAGTCATTGGATTTAGGATTCACCCTACAACTAGGATGATTTCATTTTTGAGATAATTAATTACATACATAAAGATCCTATTTCCAAATAGTCACATTTGAGGTTCTAGGTAGACATGAGATTTTTGGGGACACTATTCAACTCACTACAGATGTAGAAGGAATATTTACATGATTTAAGTCAGGGGTCCTCAAACTTTTTAAACAGGGGGCCAGTTCACTGTCCCTCAGACTGTTGGAGAGCCGGACTATAGTTTAAAAAAAAACTATGAACAAATTCCTATACACACTGCACATATCTTATTTTGAAATAAAAAAACAAAACGGGAACAAATACAATATTTGTATTTGCATGTGGCCCGCGGGCCGTAGTTTGAGGACCCCTGATTTAAGTTCTGTAAAGGGGAGTGGAGCAGGACTAAGTAATGTCAAAAACTATTTTGCAGTCTGCAGAAATATTTTGGGCCACTGCAGTCTGAATGCCCTCAATAATGTGCTCTACATAAAGGTCTCAAGTGAATAATCATTGACTAGTAGGGCTTGCCACTAATGTCACGCATTAAATAACCTTTCAGCAAGCTAGGAATAAATGACCTCCTAAAATGTATGTAAGATTTTGTGGCCAGTTTGAGTGATAAAATGTGAGATTCTATGGTACTTTAAATTGTATAGTGATTAAGAACAAGGACTTTAAGAGCCAGAATTTGAACCCAGTTCAAACTGTCTGGGTTCAAATTCTGCCTCTGACCCTTAACAGTTGGGATTACTGTGGGTAAATTGATAAATCTCTATGCAATGTCTCATTAAAATAAAGGTTAAAAGAATAATACCCGATTAATACATGTAAAGTGCATGAACTGTCTAGCACACAGGAACTGCTCATTTAATATTAGCTGCTGCTGTTTTCATCTTCATGGTCGATGCTCTTCAGGAGAAAAACTCAATAGCTGAAAAATTTATGCCTTTGTTTTTCTAGTAGTAAGGATCTTTGTACTGATGAATTCATAGATTCCTACCCAGTGTCACCTTAGGAAAGATGCTTTTCAGATTGTTCAGTTAGAGGCTGAGAGTAGTAGAGAACACAGGATGAGATAACTGGTTCCTGATTTCACTAAGGACACTAAATGAGTAGCTATTTTAGCGATTATATATAATTTGCTTCTGACAGACTCTTCTAATGAGTCTTCATTTATTGTACATCAAGCAAATACCCCTTTTTATGTCATAATTTTAAGCTTGAAACTTCACTTACATACTTTATTCTTTTCTTTGTATACAACAAACATTTTGTTAGCAAGAACTAGTTATCTGAGCTTTCTGATTTGGAGGGGTAATATATATTACCTCTGAATATATGACTGCGGCATTTGGTCGCACTCACCACATCTCTGCGTGGGGACTTGGTGCTGTGACTTAGGCAGAGGGAGGCGTGTGGGGCCCCAGTGGCCCAGGTGTTGCCCAGGGCCCAGAGCTGGGACCTGCCCTTCCATGCCAGACACCCGTGCTTTGATCGCCAGCCAGGCCTAGGGACTGCACCCGTGCAGGAATTTCGTGCACTGGGCCTCTAGTTTTATATAGAGACTTGAGCATCTTCAGATTTCATATCCGAGGAGGAGTAACAAATCCCCTGTAGATATTGAACCCTGAACTTTTCTTAAGCAGAATGCTTCAGTGTAGTTTACTGAGCTTATTAAAAGATTTTAAAATAGATTATGAGAATTCACAGGTGATTAAACATTGCCAAACAGGTTTTTCCCTTCTTCCCCTCTCTCTCCAGCCTGTTTGCTAGTGTTTAATATTATTCAAAGAAGAGAATGGAAACGGATTCTCTATGTATTACATGCATGCATTATCTCAGTTAAACTTAACAAGTGTGTAGGTATTATTTTATATAAGGAAACCTAGGCTTAGAGACATGGAAGTTGTTCAGGGTCACATCTACAGAATGGTGGAGTTGATATTTGAGTGCATGCCCTTCTGGTTCTGTTAATTGATCTTTTCCAACATGTACTATTACCTCTCCAAATCAGAAAGCTCAGATAACTAGTTCTTGCTAACAAAATGTTTGTTGTATACAAAGAAAAGAATAAAGTATGTAAGTGAAGTTTCAAGCTTAAAATTATCTTTCATTCTTTGATCTGAAAATGTTTCCATGCTTTGTTCTGAGTATATATGGATGGAATAGAACTGTGTGGGGTGTCTATGCAAATGTGGGTCCATTGAGGAAAATGAATTATTTGAATAACATAATCTCTGAAAATGTGTACTGCCAAAGATTCTCCTGTGCAGTTCTGTTATTTATTTTTGGTAGAAAGATTCTTACCCTAGTTAACCATTAGACTTTTAAACTTTGTGCAAGATTTTGCCCCTATGCCGAAACCGGTTTGGCTCGGTGGATAGAGCGTCGGCCTGGGGACTGAAAGGTCCCAGGTTCGATTCCGGTCAAGGGCATGTACCTGGGTTGCGGGCACATCCCCGATGTGCAGGAGGCAGCTGATCGATGTTTCTCTCTCATCGATGTTTCTAACTCTCTATCCCTCTCCCTTCCTCTCTGTAAAAAATCAATAAAATATATTTAAAAAAAAAAAAAAAAAGATTTTGCCCCTAAATAGGTCACAGATAGATTTTTTTTTTTTTAGGCGGAAGAATGCCTTTCAGTATAGGAATCTTCCTAAATGAACCTCACTGCTTATTCTAGTCCCTTCTCACAGTTAAAGATGTTATAGGAAATTAAAAGAATTGTTTTTTTTTTCTTCTAGATTAATTGCTGAAGTACTGATCGAATTCTGCGTTTCTTCAATGAGGAACTACAGGCTGATCTTCTGCCATAATCTCAAACAGCCATAAATGACAAAAGAATGCTTGCTCAGTGAGGGTAGCTGGTGCAGAATTCGTTTTTTAAACTTAGGTGTTTAAGTACTCAAAGGTAAGTTTTTCAAAATGGTAATTATCCACAGAGATTTTGGAGTTTCCTATTATACTGCTCTTGATTATAAATTGAGGTTTGTAGTCATAAGCTGGTACCAGATGTATTGAAGAATGGATCTTATGTGTCCTAAAACAATTTAAATTTATGGCATTTTGCTGTCCCTAAGTTAAAGTCTACTGTTCTTATATGTTGGATGGATTAATTTCCTAGTCATGTTATGACACTTTCTTGATCCAGTGGGTACATCTATTCTGTAGGGTGTCCCAAAAAACGTATGTACACACTTTAAATAATTATAAAGGCAGTGTCTATTAAATGACATTTTATTTTCAAAATTGAGCTATCAGCTGTTAAAGTGTGTATACATTTTTGGGGGAATACACTGTATATATGGACTTTATTTATTTATTTATTCTAAAAATATATTTTATTGATTTTTTTACAGAGAGGAAGGGAGAGGGATAGAGGGTTAGAAACACTGATGAGAGAGAAACATCAAATCAACTGCCTCCTGCACACCTCCTACTGGGGATGTGCCCACAACCAAGGTACATGCCCTTGATTGGAATTGAACCTGGAGCCCTTCAGTCTGCAGGCCGACGCTCTATCCACTGAGCCAAACCGGTTAGGGCTGGACTTTATTTTTGTAAAAACTTCAGAATATTGCCTGGCCAGTGTGGCTCAGTGGTTGAACATCGACCTATGAACCAGGAGGTCAAGGTTCCTGCCCAGATTGCAGGCTCGATCCCCAGTAGGGGGTGTACAGGAGTCAGTCAATCAATGATTCTCTGTCATCATTGATGTTTCTATCTCTCTCTCCCTTCCTCTCTGAAATAAATAAAAAATATATATATTAAAAAAAAACAGAGTATTGAACAGATTACATTTTTTGCTTTGTTATCATTCTCTTGTAGTGCAGAAGGAGTTGTTTCTCTGGGGTGATGAAAAAAGCCCAGTTTGTATCATTTTGTTCATTATTAACTTTCGAAAAAGTTTTTTTCTCTTTTTTTCCTTTTTGTTGAACTTATTGGGGTGGCAGTGGTTAACCAAATTGTACAGGTTTCAGATGCGCAATTCCACAACACATCATCTGTACACTGTATTGTGTGTTCACTACCCCAAGTCAAGTCTCCATCCATCACCATTTATCCCCCTTCTTTTAAAAATACTCCTTTCCCACATATTGTAATATGTTTATTTTAGAAAATGAATTTTTCTTGGGATTGGTTTTGATGCTTCAGATATTAGAAACATTTTTCCCACTGCCTCTTTACTGATCACAATTACAAAGTTAAGACTAATAACTTAGTTTTTCTGTGCTGTGCACATTTTTGTTTTGAGTAATTATGAAACAGGATTGATAATATTCTCATTGAAAGTTGATGTCTAGAACTGAAAAATTTCCTTTGTTTATAAACAAATATTATGGCTGCTCTGTCATGTAGAAATAAGAACTGGTTAATCTTGTTTTTATTAGCCCATTATTCATAAAAGTGATTTTTGTAAAAGAAACACTTGTAAAAGTGATTATTTTACATTTGGGTGCTTATGAATAGAGGGGTTAGATGAGTTTCATATAACAGAGTCCAGACATGATTGGGTTTGGCTTCTTACCTGTGTCATTAATAAGCTTGGTCAGTAAAGGTCTTCTTTGAGCCAGATTTGCCCTTTAATTCATCTTTAGGACATTAATGTCCTTTGCTAAGTTTAATGATCAACTTTGCCATTGTTTGATAAATATGCACGTGCTAAATGGAGTATTTAGACCTAACCCTACATAGTAGAGAAAATGCTTAGGTCATTATATTGAACTTTATTTGTAGAACATACTAGTGTGGGCCTGATAACTGAAACATATTTAATAGGTGAGAACACACTGAGGTGTAAAGCCTTTTCTTCAATGTATTTAGTCATATTGCCACCTGTTAATCATTATAGTCTTTTTTTGTTGTTTTTCATTTGGCAGAAAAGACAGCTTTGATTTCTGGCTGCAAAAAAGATATGAGGAAGAGCTCCTCCCCTTCCTTGAGTAACTGCAACTCCGTTCTTGCTAACAAAATATTTGGAATTCCACTTGATGAGCTGCAGCAGGGAGGACATCCAGACAATGAGGTTCCATTCATAGTCCGCCACGTTGTGGACTATATTGAGGAACATGGTATACATTTCCTTACTTTGAGGGCTAGCCTTTGTTTTAATAAACACAACTTATCCCTTTTTGATCTTGGATTTTTTTTTTTTTAGCATGGAAAGTCCAAAATATAATGAGGAAAAACAATAGAAATTCTTTTTTTACGTTTTAGTGTGTTTTATACTCAGAAATGCCCAATGTAGAGCATTTTAGTGTGGGGGAGATATTAGGAGTATTTTTAATGGATAATGGGGTGGGATAGCCCGACCGGTGTGGCTCAGTGATTGAGCTTTGACCTATGAATCAGGAGATTAGGGCACATGCCTGGGTTGGGAGCTTGATCCCCACTAGGGAGCGTGCAGGAGGCAGTCGATCAATGATTCTCTTTCATCATTGATGTTTCTATCTCTTCCTCTCTTTTCCTCTCTGAAATCAATAAAAATATATTAAAAAAATAGGGGGGTGGGATAAAATAGAATATCCCTCAGGACAGACAGAGTTAGTATGTTTCTAGGTGTGTAATTTGAAGGTGTTTAGCCCAGTCAGGGGAGCTAAGAATGGCTTTCCAAAAGTCTGAATATTTTAAGTTGAGTGGAGAATATATGACCAAGTAATTGAAGTTGAAGCTTATTTAATTTTGCCTTGAACTAATGTAGGAGGTCTGGAGCAACAAGGACTTTTTCAAGTCAATGGAAATGCTGAGACAGTGGAGTGGCTTCGGCAGAGATACGACAGTGGAGAAGAAGTGGATTTGGTTAAGGAAGCAGATGTTCCCTCAGCTATTAGTCTTCTTAGGTTTTTCCTTCAAGAACTTCCTGAACCTGTTATCCCTGGCAGTTTGCATATTCACTTGATGCAGCTTTCTCAAGGTAACAAAATTTGATTCTTATCAGTCATTTAACATTAATTTCAAACTCCTTACCTTTAGAAATCTTGATGTGTAAGCAGTAATTATAGTAGTTCTGAGATTGATTTTTTATGTGCCCATTTCGGGGACATAGGCTTTTTGGGGCTGTTTGGTCTAGTCAAGAATGGCAACTTACCAGATTCCTGTGGTATATTTACTTTTTATAATTGGTCTAAGAAATAGGTTTAAGAGGAGGAAAGGCAGGATATAAGAACAAGAAGTAAGAGGATAGGGAAAGAAGAAAGAAAAAATATATTTAAGGTGATTTGTGTAGCAGAGTAGCCAGTGGTGTTGCTTAGTGGTGATGTTATTACAGGATATTTATCCCTGGTTTGATAGAACTTTCTAGCAAAAATCAGAAGACAACTTTGATTCTAGGTTTAAAATATACCTAAAGCTTGTTCTTGGCCTGAAAGAAAGAAAATATCAAATTGTACATCAGGCTCCAAGCTAAATAAAGAAAAAAAATTTGTGCTTGTTGGGTTAGTTTTTTGGTGGTGACTAAAAGTAGGGCCCAGCTGGAATGGAATAGGGACAAGAAAAGTAAAGGTAGTGACAGGCAGAAAAAAAAGTAAAGGTAGTGACAGGCAGAAAGAACAAGAAGTGAGGAAATGCTTGTGTTCCTAGAGCCAAGTGGTATTCATGTGTACATAATGAGTGATAGGTTTGATTATACAGGAAACTTTATGAAGATGGCATATAATATACATTTGTTAAATATTTAAATTATTTTTTTCTGGCTTTTCTCTGTGTAATGGAATCTCTCTATTTCTTTGAATTGGAGCTTCTACAGAAATTCTGTGATGTTAAGAAATTATAGTCCTAGCTGGTTTGGCTCAGTAGATAGAGCGTCAGCCTGTGGACCACAGGGTCCTGGGTTCGATCCTAGTCAAGGGCATGTACCTTGGTTGCAGGCTTCTCCCTGGCCCGGGCCCTGGTCGGGGTGCATACAGGAGGCAACCCATCAATGTGTTTTTCTCACATCGATGTTTCTGTCTTTCCCTCTCTTCTACTTGCCCCAAAAATCAATGGAAAAATATCATTGGATGAAGATTAAGAAAACAAAAAACAAAACAAAACAAAAGAAATTATAAATACTAGATGAGTGGATAAAAAAGCTGTGGTACATTTACTCAATGGAATACTTCTCTGCTGTAAAAAGGAAGAAAATATTACCCTTTGTGACAGCATGGATGAACCTGGAGAACATTATGCTAAGTGAAATAAGCCAGTCAGAGAAAGACAAATACCATATGATTTCACTCATGTGGAATTTAATGAACAACTACCAAGCAAAATAGAGACAGACTCATAGATAGCAGGCAGATGGCTTGTGTGTCGGGGGAGGGATGGGCGGATGGAGGGATTGAGCAAAAAAGAAAAAAAGAACTCATGGACACAGATAATAGTGTGGTAATTGTGGGGGATGGATAGAGGTGGTAGAGGGCATAGAGGCAATAAAAGGTGATGGAAAATTTTTAAAAAAGAAATTACAAATACTTCCTGAATGCAGGACATCCTAATATATAAAAAGCCAGGAGCCGTCACGACCGAAACAACCACATGGACGACCAAACAGCAGGCTGCGTGGGGCAACCAGACCAGCAGGGTGGTTAGTGAAGGACCACCAAACGACTGAACAGCAGGCTGCGTGGGGCGACCAGGCTGGCAGGGGGGGCAGTGAGGGACAACTAAATGACTAAACAGCAGGCTGCATGGGGTGACCAGGTCGGCAGGGGGGGCAGTGAGGGCGAC